GTAGTATGTATGAATGTATGTTTGGATACATTTTTTGGCCACGATTTTGAGAGCGCACATCAATCAATTTGAATTATTCAAAAAACATTCGATTTCTATTGATGGGGAGACGTAATGATTAGATTTTGGCAAAGTCCAGCCGTTTCGGAGATAGTGGGCAATTCAGTTTTTGAAAGAACGGAGCATTCATAATAAATGATTCAAAAACCATTTTATTTGTATTGACAAAATCAAGATCAACTGTTCAAATTTTTAGAAAGGCAGAAAGAGCGGTTTCGGATATTCAATAGAAAAAAGTGAAAAATGCCATTCGGAAATAAAAATGACCTTTTCCGTACCAATGTTTATATATAAGAATGCGACACGGCGCTTACGCTTGCCTTTAATTCTTTTGAAAGTTAAAAAAAAAATCTAAGCTTTTTTGAAAATTTAATCTTCAGTACGGAAAGTTTTAGCAATTTGCCAATGGGTCAAACCAACTTTGAAACATATTATGCTATTTTAATCTAAAGACATGTTTCTTCATTATTTTTTTTAATTTTTCGTAGAATAATTTCTAGTAATGGGCCAAAAATTGTAAATACCTCAGGAAAAATAGATGTGCGTGTGCGTATGTATATGCATGTGTGGATACAATTTTTCTTCAACGTTTTCGGGAGTACCGTTCAACCGATTTGCATGATTAAAAAAGCAATCGATTCCTATTGATATGGAGATGTGCCAATTAGTTTTTGGGGAAGGTCGGTCCACCTGCTTTCAAAATACGAAGCAAAGAATGCAGAAAATAGAAACTCCGTGTTTGCATAACCGGGCATCTGCTTGGAATGATTCAATTCGTAATGATGGGAAAAGTGGTGATTAGCTTTTACCAAAGGCAATTCCAGCCATTTCAAAGATATGAAGCTAAATGTGCCAAAAATGGCAGTTTTTGAGAGAACTAAGCATCCGATTTGAATGATTCAAAAAACTTTCTGCTTGTGTTCACAAAATTGCTTTTGAAGCAAAAAAAGTTATTTCAAAATTTCTTTTTCCAAAATCATTTTTTGGATATCGAAAATAATTCGGATATTAATTTTTTAAAGTTCCAACGCTCACTGATATACTTTAAATCTAAAACTCTGCAATTCAGTTTGTATCATTCTTATAGATATTGGAAAATGTGACAGTATTTATCATAATCTATTTAAAAACATTTAATA